CTTGCCATTCCACCTCATTATTGCCATACCACCTCACTATTCTTGCCATACCACCTCATTATTCTTGCCATTCCACCTCATTATTATTGCTATACCTCCTCACTACTCTTGCCATACCACCTCACTATTATTACCATTCCACTTCATTATTGCCATACCACCTCACTATTCTTGCCATACCACCTCACTATTCTTGCCATACTACCTCATTATTGCCATACCACCTCACTATTCTTGCCATTCCACCTCATTATTATTGCCATACCACCTCACTATTCTTGCCATACCACCTCATTATTATTGCCATACCACCTTTCTCAGCTCTGAAAATTCATTGTGTCTGACGATCTGACACTGAGTCCAGATAACTTTAAAATAACAGCTGAGATTTTTAACACATTGTAGTGAACAATATTAGAGCTACAGAGTAAATAACTTAAAGCTGGACTTAATACTTATGTTTCAGCTGGTGAAGCGGCATCACCCAACATTCTCACTCCTACAACCCGGGTTTGATTCCCGGGCGACACACTAAATTAGAATCCCAATGGTAATAACCCGCTTTGACTTTTTGGGGGCTATCGCAGGCAATTTATATATACCTATGTTGTTATATGTAATAAATGTACTTGTGTGCATGTATCTGTACCTGTAGCTCGATCGCTAACGCACTCAGCTCATACGCTAAGGTCCGGGGGCGATCCCCGGTAGGGGTGAAAACTTTGGAAGTTTTTTACATAATTTCCTAAATGTAGAACATATAAATGAATAATGTAATTGCGTATTAAAATGTGATGCTATTTGGACCCTTCAAGAAATTTTAAGTGACCGGGTAGTGTGGAAGAACCGCGGACGGAGAGACGCCATATTGAGCTGAATGTGTGAACACTGGTACTTTAATTGTGCAATGTAATTGGACGTTCACGAGGGTCATTTGGGGTACATCGTCCTCAATTCGTAATTTAGAAATAGCTGACAATTTCCTGCTGAAGAACTGGGATAAATACTGTGGAAAACCCTTATAAGTCGGCAACCAGGACGAAAAATAGAAGACTTCAATGAATCCTACCCAGCAACACACCTTAGCTAAGTGATGCTTACCCATAATGTACAGTAGTTTTTGCAGTGGTCATCAGAAATTCTATCTGCTAGGGTAGTGTTAGGATGTGTTCCATCAGCATTGTCTTCCAGTAATTAAATGGTAAGTGTTAATACCATTTATATTTTGTGTACCCAGCAAGCCAAATCATACAGTCCACACAACTTTAATTACTAGAGTAACTGGTTTTAATATTATAATAATTTAATATCAGGTGTAACTTTTTGTGAGAGTGGTGAGGAAGTGGGCAGTCGAAGGAGTAGTAGTTCAGTGACCTAATTTGTCTAAGTCCCACTTACTTCACCCAAATTACTTGCAGGTAATAATTCAGGTAATACTCTGTAAGCCTCCTGCAGGTGATTTACTCACAACATAATAATAATAATAATAATAATAATAATAATAATAATATTTCACAGAAACATTAGAACGTATTTCTTTAAGACACCTGCTGCTCATGTTCACCTAGCAGTAAACTAGGTACCTGGCTGTTAGTCGACTGGTGTGGGTCGCATCCTGGGAACAAAATTGACCTAATTTGTCCGAAATGCTCTGCATAACAAGTGGCTTTCTATATAGTAGTATGTGATTGATGTCAACTGGACTGTATACCTTGTACATGTACTTGTAGTAAGTAAAGATAGCAATAATAATAATAATAATAATATTATTATTATTATTATTATTATTGTTATTATTATTATTGTTTTTAATGATAGTTTGCCCTCGTTTGATGAGTTCCGTTTTCTGTTTGTGGTGAGTGTGTAGTGTTGAAGGGTAACTGCTTGTTTCATGTCCCACATGATGCCTACTGACTGATTTATCTATTTTTTTTAACCCTTCACATGTTTGTTAATGTTGTATTATATCGCTTATATATGTTAAAGCTTGTATATTATAATGGCGCGTTCCTGAAATGAATCGTGACGATGGTAAGATAAAGACCCAACGGAAAACGTCATTTCGTCTGAGTTTCCTGGGATATCCTGGAGTTTACCTGGAGACAGTTCCGGGGGTCAACGCTCCCGTGGCCCGGTCTGAGACCAGGCCTCATGGTGGATCAGGGTTTGATCAACCAGGCTGTTACTGCTCCATAAGCTGCTATATATAATAATATCTTTATTTCTACAAGTACATGTACATGGTATCCAGTCCTAGCTGACATCAATGACATACTACTATACAGAAAGCTGCTTGTTATGCTGAGCATTTCGGGCAAATTAGGTCACTTTTGTCTACCTGGAGGGCATTCCGGGGATCGACGCCCTCGCGGCCCGGTCCACGACCAGGCCTCCCGGTGGATCAGGGCCTGATCAACGAAGCTGTTACTGCTGGCCGCACGCAATCCAACGTACGAACCACAGCCCGGCTGATCCGGCACCGTCTTTAGGTATCTGTCCAGCTCTCTCTTGAAGACAACCAGGGTTTTACCGGTAATGCCCCTTATTGCTGGTGGGAGGCTGTTGAACAGTCTTGGGCCCCGGACACTTATTGCGTTTTCTCTTAGTGTACCAGTGACGCCCCTACTTTTCACTGGGGGTATGTTGCAATCACTCCGTATGGAGTGATTTCTGTGTGCATATTAGGGACCAGCCCCTCCAGAATCTTCCAGGTGTAGATTATGATATATCTCTCTCTCCTGTGCTCCAGTGAGTACAAGTCAATTGCTTCCAGGTGCTCCCAGTAGTTAAGGTGCTTGATGGAACTTATACGTGCAGTAAAGGTTCTCTGTACATTCTCTAGCTCTGCAATTTCACCTGCCTTGAATGGGGATGTTAATGTACAGCAGTATTCCAGCCTAGAGAGAACAAGTGATTTAAAAAGGATCATCATTGGCTTAGCATCTCTTGTCTTGAATGTTCTCATTATTCATCCTATCAGTTTCCTTGCAGATGTGATAGTGGCATTGTTGTGGTCCTTGAAGGTGAGGTCTTCGGACATTACCACTCCCAGGTCCTTCACATTACTTTTCCACTCTATTGTGTGATTGGAGTTTGTAGTATACTCAGTCCTAGTTATTATTTCCTCCAGTTTTCCATAACGGAGTAGTTGGAATTTGTCTTCATTTAACATCATACTGTTCTCTGTTACCCATTGGAAAACTTGGTTTATATCTTCTTGGAGCTTTGCCGTGTCCTCAATGGATGGCACTCTCGTGCAGATCCTAGTATCGTCTGCAAAAGATGATACAGTGCTGTGGTTTACATCTCTGTCTATGTCTGATATGAGAATAAGGAACAGGATAGGTGCGAGTACTGTGCCTTGTGGGACAGAGCTCTTCACTATGGCAGCATCTGATTTAACTCTGTTTACCACTACTCTTTGTGTGCGATTGGTTAGAAAGTTGAAGATCTATCTGCCTACTTTGCCAGTTATCCCTTTAGCACGCATTTTGTGTGCTATTTCACCATGGTCGCACTTGTCAAAGGCTTTTGCAAATTCTGTGTATACTACATCCACATTCTGTTAGTTTTCCAGTGCATCTAGGACCATATCGTAGTGGTCAAGCAGTTGCAAAAGGCAGGAGCGACCTGCTCTGAAACCATGTTGCCCTGGGTTGTGCAAGTTTTGGGAGTCCAGGTGGTTTGCTATCCTGCTTCTTAGAACTCTTTCAACCACTTTAAACCACTTTCATCCACAGGACCACCCAACCCTACAAGAATGGCGCAGCCAGCACAGAGCTAGTACACCAAACAGGAATGAGAATGAAATTAGCTTAGAAGCTCCCACACCTCCTATGTCCTCGGATGGCGGCCCAACAGCTAGCTCTGTGCTGGCTGCGCCATTCTTGTAGGGTTGGGTGGTCCTGTGGTTTAAAGCGTCATGTGGTTGTCGCTTACCATGAGGCAGGCCAATACAACATGGGTTCGAATGCTTGGTTAGCGCAGTGTTGTTATTGATCAATACCACTCGTTCGTAGTTACAATATATATATATATATATATATATATATATATATATATATATATATATATATATATATATATATAATATACACCGAGAGCTCTGTATATCTTTGTATACCAAAATGTCTGTATCTCTCAGTGTACATTGAATTGAGGTGAGTATGTATCATTGTTTATATACACAAACATTGTATTATGTCAGTGTACATACACCAAGTAGCGTGTATCAGTGTATATATACACAATGTTCATACACTGAAAGGTGAACATAAAGCTACACTGAGAAATAGTGAGATTCCAAGCGTCTCGTGTTTCCTCACATGTCACATTTTCTCACATTTAAAAATGTGAGAAATCACGAAATCACTCAAAGCTGTGTATTTCAGTGCATATACACTGAGGTATCAATTTATCAGTGTATATGCAATGATGTGTTAATTTCAGTGTATATACACAACAGATGTGTATCTCTTAGCCAAAATGCGACGAGATGTGTATTTGTCAAGTGTACATATACTGTACATAAGCACAGAGAGGTGTGCATCGTGTATATACAGTGAGATGTGCTTATCTCTGTGACTATACACCTAGAGATATATATCTCCGTGTATGTATAACCGATATGTGTATTCGTCAGTATGTATACACCAAGAGGTTGATAGTCACAGTTGACAGATTTTTAAACCTAACAAAATCGGCTGGATAAACAGGACGAAATATTTTTCTGCCACTACAGTTACAAACCTAGAAATAACTAGAATTAAAATACAGTCTCAGTGAACTGATCCCACTTAGGTTATAGTCACTGACACATAGTTACAGGTCCCTTCACTGCTGAAGAAGAGTTATTACAGTAAGGAAGTTATTATCCTTCCTTGGGTTACACCTGATTACTTCCCATTTTCAAGGTACGGTATGATCCCAATGGGGTTTTGTACATCCTTTGATTGTGGTGGTAATAACAAACACAAGAGAAAGACTGGTCTTAGCTTCACCTTTGGAGATGTACCATCGTGGAGTCTCGGGCACAAAACACATCATAGCAGTGAAGATGAAAGGGATGATAGCACCAGCATAGGCCAGCACCCACCAGTTAGCATAAGTACCCACCACGAAGCACACCAGGATACCTGTGGAGGGCAGAACACTTAACAAACTCTCCTCTGCAAAACCTCACTGTATGTGAATTACCGTATGTTTATACCTCTAAAAATCCCACATTGGTAAAATAGTAAATGAAAATGGAAATATAACAATTAAGATTCTCTAACAAGGCATTAATTTTGTTGCATTGTCTTAGTTACATGTATACAAGTGGCACTGTCTTAGCTTACATGTATACAAGTGGCACTGTCTTAGCTACATGTATACAAGTGGCACTGTCTTAGCTACATGTATACAAGTGGCACTGTCTTAGCTACATGTATACAAGTGGCACTGTCTTAGCTACCATGTATAAAGTGGCACTGTCTTAGTAATGTATACAAGTGGCACTGTCTTAGCTACATGTATACAAGTGGCACTGTCTTAGTTACATACACATACACATGTTGCATGGGGTTATGAATGCTGGGTTTAAGAATAAAACCAGCTTTTGGGTTTAATGGTAGCTGGAGTGGCGAGGATAAACAACCCCAGTAGAAGGGGTAGCTAGTCTATGACGTTATTATTGTTAAGGGTTATAATGCCTTAGTTATGGAGGCCATTAAACGAGAAACAACCCATAGTGACGGCTCGATCCACTACTGACATGACCTCGTCATGTAAATAACCAGACTGAATTACTGAATGCAGAACTAATATACTGCGCTGCTATAAAGTCTTATTTCAACGAGAAGTGAGTTTATATATATTAGTGTAGAAACTACACAGCTGAGGGTCGAGCAAGACTCAACCTTTCTACGAATTCTGGAGCGACACACTGACAAAATATTATAAATAAGTTAAGACGCTGGTGTTGCAGACAAGTTATGCAACACTAACGTCACAAACTGTAGGAGGATATGAACAATGTTTTAAAGTTAATTATATAATGGAACACAGTACAAAGAATACGTTCACTATTTTAAACTTTGTCTATAACTACGTAAGAGTACTAAAATAAATGAGAAAAGAAACATGAACATGATAAACCAACTGTTAGTGTCAGCAACAGTTAGTGTCAGCAACAGTTAGTGTCAGCAACAGTTAGTGTCAGCAACAGTTAGTGTCAGCAACAGTTAGTGTCAGCAACAGTTAGTGTCTCCAATAGTTAGTGTCAGCAACAGTTAGTGTCAGCAACAGTTAGTGTCTGCAATAGTTAGTGTCAGCAACAGTTAGTGTCAGCAACAGTTAGTGTCTGCAATAGTTAGTGTCAGCAACAGTTAGTGTCACAACATTAGTGTCTGCAATATTAGTGTCAGCAACAGTTAGTGTCTGCAATAGTTAGTGTCAGCAAAGTTAGTGTCAGCAACAGTTAGGTCTGCCATAGTTAGTGGGCAGCAACAGTTAGGTCAGCAACAGTTAGTGTCTGCAATAGTTAGTGTCAGCAACAGTTAGTGTCAGCAACATTAGTGTCAGCAACAGTTAGTGTCAGCAACAGTTAGTGTCATGCAATAGTTAGTGTCAGCAACATTAGTGTCAGCAACAGTTATGTCCTGCAATAGTAGTGTCAGCAACAGTTAGTGTCTGCAATAGTTAGTGTCAGCAACAGTTAGTGTCTGCAATAGTTAGTGTCAGCAACAGTTAGTGTCAGCAACAGTTAGTGTCTGCAATAGTTAGTGTCAGCAACAGTTAGTGTCAGCAACAGTTAGTGTCAGCAACAGTTAGTGTCAGCAACAGTTAGTGTCTGCAATAGTTAGTGTCAGCAACAGTGTCAGCAACAGTTAGTGTCAGCAACAGTTAGTGTCAGCCACAGTTAGTGTCAGCAACAGTTAGTGTCTGCAATATTTAGTGTCAGCAACAGTTAGTGTCAGCAAAAAGTTAGTGTCAGCAACAGTTAGTGTCAGCAACAGTTAGTGTCAGCAACAGTTAGTGTCAGCAACAGTTAGTGTCAGCAACAGTTAGTGTCTGCAATAGTTAGTGTCAGCAACAGTTAGTGTCAGCAACAGTTAGTGTCAGCAACAGTTAGTGTCAGCAACAGTTAGTGTCAGCAACAGTTAGTGTCAGCAACAGTTAGTGTCAGCAATCATTACGTCATAAATTATCTGAAGAACTTCAGCAAAAGATTACTGACCTTGGCAAGAAATATTCACATTCAACAAGAACACAAATAAAAGATAACATTGAAATTACTGTCTTCAAAAAATAATTTATTATATAACATATATATATATATATATTATATATATATATATAATATTATTATAATATATATATATTATATATATATATATATATATATATATAATATATTATATATTACATTAATTACAAATTCTGGCAGCACTGTTTACACGACCATTATGGAGGTGTTGAGGTACAAGGTTGGTTGAGAACGGCATCAATGTCAGTAGCATTAATAACATCTTACGACCTTAAAATATGCAGATGTGAGCAACCTTGTGAAGCATCAGTCGCTGACTCACAGCAACAACGGTACAGTAAGCATTATAATATCTCTTGTAACTTTGATACTCAGTCAGCATCACTATAATTACATTTTCTCTGATCTGAATGCAATTTTTTTTATGTTGATAACTGTGACTCTAATCTCATACTTATTTATATCAAATTTTGAATGTCTTATTGAAATTCATCACGATAATCTTCGCAATAGCCTTAATTTCACTAGATTTTGCAAGAACATTCTTTACTCTTGTAAAATCTACATTACAAATTTGCTTTCATTCTCCGAAAATATTCTTTCAGCATCACGAGTCTTCGTCGCCACTTATTGATCATTATAGATACAAGAAATATCTGTTACCTACACCGTAGAGAATGTAACACAGTGTACCACCTACTGACACACAAACTGGCTAGTGAACATTGCTTCATCTCGGGTACAGCTGTTTGGGTCACTTGTTGCTGTTACAACGTTTAAACATATTTTTTATGAATACTTGTAAAATTACCAGTGTTATGTTAAAATGGCACAAGAACAACGAATGAGATTTCTCGGCTGTTTCACTCTCCAGGACTTGACTTGGTCCTTGTACTTGCCATCCCGGGGTAGTAGAGCGACTTGACGAGGCTTCGGCGTAGTACAAGTTCATTCTGAACAAGTACATCTTGACTGTAGGGAAAATAAAATAATGTTTGAACTAATCAATATAGAGTATTTTACTCATCCACGCTGCCTTATTAAGCGCCACCTGACGGATACAGTGGTTATGTCCCTAACATTCACAATACAGGGATCCCCTGAGAGATAAACATGGATCTCCACTGAACATTATCTCATGTATTATCTTAGAAACAATTTAATACTTTCTCGTCGTAATTAATCACTTGCTCAGGCTTGTATCAGCCCTCGGAAATAATTTCATCCAGCTCAGCTGGGAAATTATCCACGGCAGTGGTCAGCAGTGGTCACGCCAGTGGTCAGTGGTCACGGCAGAGGTCAGCAGTGGTCACGGCAGGGTGGTTACGGCAGTGGTCAGCAGTGGTCACGCCAGTGGTCAGTGGTCACGGCAGACGTCAGCAGTGGTCACGGCAGTGGTCAGCAGTGGTCACGGCAGTGGTCAGCAGTGGTCACGGCAGTGGTCAGCAGTGGTCACGGCAGTGGTTACGGCAGTGGTCAGCGGCACGAGGTCTGGGGGCAGGTGGTCACGGCAGTGGTCAGCAGTGGTCACGGTAGTGGTCCCGTGGTCACAGTTTAAGCTGTGTCCAAAGGCAGCATCATAAGGTCATAGGTCACTTTTAAGACTTGAACCTACTGTTCAACGCACTGTTAAACAGTACAGTACAGAGCTTTCTTCCATTTTGAAAGGGCATAAGAAGAGCACCTTTCTTGGTTTTGTGTTGAAGCCACATCCGGTAAGTTCACTGGCTTCTTTATCTTCGTGATGTTTGTCAGTCTTATCAGACGCTCACAATCTGGAGTGTTCACTGCACAAGCTCCCCATTTTCACTTCGTAATCACGTGTACACCAGCTCTCAATATTTTTTTTTTCAAATCACTCATAGATTCAAGTTGATTCTTCATGACACTTTCAACATCACTAGTATTTCTCTTGACTGCCATGGTTAATATACAGTGATGGGACGGGGTGATGGAAAAAAATTGATTATTGATTGACTAATGGGGCTGAGAGAGGTGTAGCACCCTCCACAAGACACCTGAAGAATGGATATTGTTGGCAACAAGGGTGACACTAGACCTTCATCCCTGAACAATGGTCTTGCCAGTAGGCTGACTGCTGCTGACTGCAGTCTGTTGACATACAATGGACTTAAGCTTATTTTACCCAAAATTTATGGTACGTTCGACTGGTCGTTGTTCGTGTAGCTTGGGCTTGGGCACTATATTCAACTGCGTTTTCTTGAAAAAGATGCATGCTAAATGAGACTCCATTGTACTGTGCTGCTGCTGCTGCTACTACTACTACTACTACTACTACTACTACTACTACTACTACTACTACTACTACTACTACTACTACTACTACTACCACCACCACCACTACCACCACCACTACCACCACCACCTTCAAGAATGCCCAGGATTCCGGACACCTGGCCCCAGTTCTTTTATATACCCTCTGTCCATTTTTATTACGTATACATCCACATGTCTATTAAGCTAACACCTTATCAGTAATCTTGACAATACATCTATGTACTCACAGGATTTATTGGTAAATTCAATAAAATCTTGGCTAACCACAGCACTGAGGGAGTTACTGAGAACCCAGACTTATTATCTATCCACTGAAGGTCACTGGAGCGTCGATGGGAGAGGATCAATTAGTGTAGTGTTGTGCCAGAGTTCTGGAAGATGGCTAATGTGCTTCCTATATTTAAATCAGGGGATAAGTCCATTCCTTCAAATTACCGTCAAATAAGCCTGATGACATCTATTGTGGGCAAATTATTAGAATCAATTATAGCTGACATTATTAGAAGTCACCTTGAAGAGCATAATTTGATTAATGAATCTCAGCATGGGTTCACAAGAGGTCGCTCTTGTCTGACAAATTTACTGACG